TTCTCGACGGATCCTTCTCATCTTCGAACTCGACCGAGATATTGTAAAGACTGAATTGTGTAGAAAATTTCATCGCGATCTGACTCTCCTTTCGAAAGTTATCGTGTATACGGACGGACGGACGGACGGCCGGACACACAGACCGATTTTAGTAGTGTACTCACTTTTTGAGTACACAAAAAAAAAGATTAATATACGTATTTACATTTTTCGAATTTGTTCATCACGTTCTGATTTATCTTTTTTAAACATTTCATATTCTGTATTAATTTTTGAATTAACAAGTAAATTATCAATTTCATTATTTAAATCTTTAAGTTGAAATTGAAGTTGTGTACGTTTTTGTTCATCACAACTAATATCAATTTTTAATTGTTCAATATTGATTTCATTAGATAATTTTTGTTGATATTCATCTTCTTTACGTTCAATACGTTTATTAAGATCATTTAATTTATTTAAATATTGTTCTATTTGTTTTTGTTGTTGTTTAATATCTTGAATTTCTTTTAAAGTTTTTTCAACTTGTGAACTTTTTAATTTTATTGTTGATTCTATTTTAATACGTTGTTCTTGATATTTATCTAAATCTTGTTGAATATTTGTTTCTTTTTGTTGATAAAATAAACGTTTTTCCATTAAATCTTTTTGTTCAATTTTAATTTGTTTATCTAAATAATTATTTAAATTTGTTTTATCAATTATTTGTGATGAATTTTGTATATATTCATCAATAAATTGTTGACGACGAATTAAATTTGATTTATATTGTTTTTCTTCAAATTCATATCCACCTAAACGTGTTGTTTCTGATGTACGTTTATCATTAAGTTTTTTTATTTGACGTTCAGTCGTCAATTTTTTTGCTTCTAACTAATATAAAAAAAAAACACAGAAAGATCAATAAATTGATATTAGTAATAGTTCAAATATCTCAAATCTTACGAAGGAACCTCTTCAGGTGTCAACTCTCATTTTCGATATCTCTCAAATGAACATTACCTCAGTCGAAAAGTGATTTGACATCGAGAGATATTCCTTCGTCATGAAGACTCAAAATAAAATTCATCTTGTGAGAAAAGTTTTAGGAATAGAAAAATGATCCTATTCTTTGTAGAATCTACACTGTATCATGAAAAAAAAAACAAGAATTCTTACATCATGAAGTTCACGTTTCTTTTTATCTTGATCACGTTGAAAATTCGATATTAATAATTTAAGTTCATCTTCTGAACCTTGAAATGGCTCATCAATAACGGCATTTAAGTCACGAATTTTCTTTTTTAATGCTTCACATTCATTTGTAAGACGATCTAATAGACAAGAATAATAATAGAACATGTACGTTTCTTTCTTTTTTTTTGAAACAACATACCCATACGTCGTTGAAAATCAACCATTTTCGAACTTTCTTTAGCAATAAATTCCAAACGAGACTTCAAAAAAGTAAAATAAATAATGATCTTTCAAATTGCTTTAAGAATCCAAAATTAAGAATATTATAATCAAATGACTGATTCCTAGCTTGCATACAAAAACTTCAGATTTCCTCGCTAAGTCTCTCTCTATATATATATACACTACTGGCCATAAGTCCCTGGATGTGTGATACTTCCTCATAACTTCAATAATTTTCCACGAAATTTTTACCAGAGATAGAGCTTAAAAAACTGTGATCGCAAGCACCAACCCGAGCTCTATCGACTGATATAGTATGGAGTTATGATTCAAACATTAGTTTCACCTCTGTTTACTTGTAAATCAATATTCACAGTTTTTATGGAAAAACAATCGCGACGCTAGAAGACTTGCTTAATCTCTAAGTTGTTTCTTAGCTCGTTAATATTAGTCTACTATTCTCCAGATGCCTTTATTGAGCAATAAATGCCCACTGCGTATTCCTGTAACAACCTAAAGATTAAACAAGACTTCTAGTATCTCGAATGTTTTTCATAAAAACTGTGAATATTGATTAATAAGTAAACAGAGGTGAAACTAATGTTTGAATCATAACTCCATACTATATCAGTCGATAGAGCTCGGGTTAATGCTTGCGATCACAGTTTTTTAAGCTCTATTTCTGGTAAAAATTTCGTGGAAAATTATTGAAGTTATGAGGGAGTATCGCACATTCATGGACTTACGGCCCGTAGTGTATATATAATTTTTGAAGAAAAAGTCCTAGGAAATGCAATGATCTCTTTATTCAGAATTTTGTCGTCTTTAAGATGGTATTGTGAGAAAATAATTTCCACTAGGCATCTGAGATTTGAAAGCTATCGTGTTTGGCTAATCAAAAATCTTCCTCCCATATTCCAATCATGAAAGTTCTTTTTAAAAATGTTCGATCTCTATTTGTTTTCTTTTTTCATACAACTTACATCAATAGGTTCAAGTTTAAGTTGAATACTTTCAACATTAACTTTCGATGTTTGTCGACGTTCATCAATTTCGGCATATTGTCTTTTTTTCTATTACAATTAAATATATATATATATATATTCTTTCTTTTATTATGCCAAAGGAAAACATACTTGAACTAACATGTCACGATATGTTTTTAAATGTCCAATTTCTGCTCGACTAATTTTAACTGTTTGTAACTGAAAAAAAAATCTTAGTTTTTAAAGATAAAAGAAAAAAACGAATCTATTCAACAAACTTTTTCTGTTCGAATTTTTCGAATTAATTCAAGTGCTTTCATATATTTTGTTGCAGCAAATATATCATCAAATTTCGTTTTTAATTGTTTTCCTTCACTTAATGGCCTTAAGAATTATATTTAAATAAATATATCTATATTAATTAGAAATATTCTAACTAACCAATTTGATTCTTCTTGATGACAAAAAATAACATTTTCAAGTATAGCTGTGGATACACCAAATGCTGTTACCATTTCTTTATCAAGTTCAACACATTTTGATGTTATCTGTATGGGTTCACCATTAATACCTTCACGAATAATAACACCTTCAAGAGTTCTTAAACTAATATTTATTTTCTATGAAAGAAGATAACCATTGTATTTAACTGAATTATTTTATTTTTTACTTTTTGTGTTGCAACAAGTGTACGTTGTACTTGTACATTATGTCCTGTAACATCTTGAAATAAAAGTCGAATTTGACCACGTACTTCTGTATCATGAGCTACTTTTGGATCATGTACAAATGCTCCTCCTGTTTTAGCACCTGGTGGCATTATACCTGTTGCCATATATTTTAAACATTCAATAATTGTTGTTTTACCCGATCCATTTGGACCGACAATAACTGTTAATGGAGAAAAAAATGTTATGACTTGAGTATCTTGATCTCGATTTCCAAAGCTACGTATGCCTTGAATAGACATTTTATGTAAACGAGACATAATTTTATCTATTTGAAAGAAAAAAAGAGTGACTTATTATCAAAGCTTGAAAAAAAAATCAATGTAATTTCACAACTGGTCCAATAAAAAATAATTTATTATGCAAATCTTTTTTTTTTCTTTCACAGAAACATTAATGATTGTATAATACAAATTATTTAAAGTTATAATTGATATTTTTTTTTTATTTGATCAAGATAATATATATGAGGTCGCTAATTAATACGATCTTAATTCGACCAATCAGAAATAAAAGATATGGTCAGTCGTCCGTCAATCTATGAACAACAAAATAAGATAAGGCCCCGAACAGACTGAAAAAAATAAAACAAATTAAGCAACGTGATTGGTCTATTTCGATTTAAATCGTCTTTTTGAGACGATTTATTCGTTAATTCGGTGTTACTTCCCTTTGAATTGGTTGGTCTGTTCGGGGCCT